AGTGCCCCTTTCTCCAATTATTGTTCCTTAGAAACGGTTTCTGGTAGTGCCCCTTTCTCCAATTATTGTTCCTTAGAAACGGTTTCTGGTAGTGCGCCTCTCCCCGATTTCTTCCTTATAATTATACGGTTTCTGGTATTGCCCCTTTCTTCAATCGTTCCTTATAAACGGTTTCGGGTATTGCCCCTTTCTCCATTTATTGTTCCTAATAAACGACTACTGGCTTGCAACTTGCTTGAGAACATTCCAAAACGCCCCGGGTCACAGCGACTCAAACAAACAAGCTGGTAAAAAACAACGCCCAGAGAGGTTTAGTTTAGGCTTCGCCCGCAGCAGCCATTTCTACACGCACCATCACTCGGGACCAGGACATGCTCACAAGCTCACTGACAGACTGACTGACAGACTAACGCACTGACTGACTGACTAACGCACTGACTGACTGACTAACGCACTGACGGACTGCGCCAAAAAAAAAAACATCCTTGTTGTGCATGACTGACTGACTGACGGACTGACTGACTGACTGACTGACAGACAGACTGACAGACTGACAGACTGACTGACAGACTGACGGACTGACTGACAGACAGACTGACTGACGAACTGACAGACAGACTGACTGACGGACTGACGGACTGACAGACTGACAGACTGACTGACGGACTGACTGACAGACTGACTGACGGGCTGACTGACTGACGGACTCACTGCGACAAAAAACTAACATCCCTGTTGTACATGACAGACGCACTGACTGACTGACTGACTGCGACAAAAAAAAAAAAAAACATCCCTGTTGTGCACGGCTGGTTCATTCTCCGAGAGTCTCATCGAGCATCATGCAGGATTTTCAAGTGCACAAGAGGTCGCACTTGTCTCTCAAGTACGTCCAGTTGGACCCTGTCACTTCACATGCATGCGTGTGTCTTCTTTCTAACTCACACCCAACAACCGGTGGCTTTAAAATTCGCTTGTTTTGTTTCCCCTACTAAGCACAAAATGAGCCGCTCTGAAGGCGGAAAACTAGTGTGCTCTCTCTCTCTCTCTCTCTCTCTCTCT